TTGTACCATTTAGTTTGGTCAAAAAAAGTAAGATTGATTGATTAGCTAATAATGCTCGTTCTGAGTGCAGACTAGTCTATAGCCAGATTCAAATCTCAAGTCATTTCAGTCTTTGTGTTAGTACTAAATGTTTCGCATCCTTTTGCGATCTAATTTGGTTGCCAAAATTGTTTCTTACATTCTTTATTCTAATGAACAGAAAACTCAAATTCACGGAGGCAAAATTTCTTCCGTATTCAAGAAGTTTCTAGTTCTGCTGTAGCTCTAATTTGCCTGCCAAGGTGCATATGTAGTCGTGAGAAGAATTTTTATAACTGTCCCTTTGTGTACGTTTACACCACCTATCATGCCCTCTCTTTAAATAGTTTTCTTGCATGGTATGCTTTAACAGGCAAGAAAATTGAACATTTAATTGGAAAATCAGAACAGTTTTTACTTCAAAATAGGATGGGTAAATATGTTGGTTTATAAGTCTAAATGAAAATGTTTCCCTTGCGTTGAACATTTAACTTGTAAACTACTGGATAATTGCATTTCAAGAATATAAATTGTTCTTGTTTACCTACTCTACTCCAGTATAAAAATGTTTGCTATGTTAAATAATATTTTAGATTGAATCAGAGACAGTAGCGTCAGAACAAAGCCTCAACAATGCTACTGAACGCTTAGCACAGATTGAAAAGGACATTGATGAAATAAAACAAAAGACCACAGACAACATACACACTGCAGAAGACATTGGGGACGCAGCAGATAAAGTAAAGCAAACTGCAGATGAAGCCAAACAGGTGAGCATTTTTAACCATGGAGGAAATTCAGCATTCAGTCCTTTTTGTCTTAGCTGAAATTGTTCAATTAAAACCTAGAAAATTTTCATCTCTGGTAAAGTAATCCCAGGTTCTTCAAGTTCCTCTCATTACCTCCGATACCTGAGGCTAGGAATCAGTTAGGTTGATCCTTTTTGTATTACATTCAGTGGCTGAAAGGTAGCAGCCTTGTCTCTGGGTCAGAATAATTAAAATCCAAGTCCACCTCAATGGTCATGACTGCAGTAATGAGGGGAATGCTGCACAATTGGACATGGTCTTTCGACTAAGGCATTAAGTTCTGGCTTCAACTTCCGAGGTGGAAGTGAAATATCCCACATTCAACACTCAAAGAGAAGCAATGGGCATAGGGTGGGCAAGACCAGGTGGCTGCAAATTGTCAACTTGGATCGACGGAGGCTACAGGGGTGCAGTGGGAGAAGCTGCGAGTTGTTGGGTGCAAGAGAGAGGAAGGCTGCGAAAGGATGGAACGGTTTTAAACATGAAATGAACACTCAGTTAACTGGAGGCTAGGAAAACTTAAAATGACTGAGGTAATGAGTTGTTTACAAATGAATTTGGAATCTGCACCTTAAGGCTGTATATGTTGAGGAGCTACTATATGAGGAAAAGTGCAGTGGATTATACTGTAATGAACACACTGATCAAGTTTAAATCAGAAATGCATAGTTGGTATATTCCAGCTGATATGAATATGTTATTGCTTTGATTTCAGCAGTAAGTAGTGTTTATGCTGATAGCTTTTAATTTTGTTTAGAATTGTCTTGTCTGTTTTTCTGTGGGGAAAATAAAGCTTTTGTTCCTAACTTATGCCTGTGATTTTTGTCAGTTTAAATACTCTAGTGTCAAGGAAATGTGGTATTTTAGAGTTTTGAGGCTTTAAATTTAAATGAAGGGTTTATAATTATTCAGGATATTGATGAACTCTTCTACCTAGGATTTGCCCTGTGTGACACAAATGGCGAAGGTAAAATTACACTGTGACGGTACCTCATAATAAATAAGTTCCTGAAAAGGAGCCCCTGAAAATCAAAATGTAGTATTAAGGAAATCTCATGGGAAGTCCTGTTTGTGGTTGGTGGAGGGCAAAGAAAGATATTTTGCCCTAATGTTCAAAAATTACGAATGGCACTCTGTACGTGAAAGTCCTTTTTCTTTCAAATAAAACAAATAGCAAGTTCGCCATCCTTTAATTTCTTGCGTTTGGTTCCATGTCACATACTTTCCACTGCTCCCTATTTTAACACTTCCTTAAGATAGGGAATAGGATGTGACTGTTTCATTGACTTCCTCTTAATGTATTTTGGATGAGGGTACATAAAATTTGGCCCAACCATTTGGTCTCAATTCCTCAGGCTGCTAGTGACTGCCTTAACCAAAATTTCTCTTTTTTTTAGTACTCCTACCCTCAGCAGAAATTCAGTGTCGGTAAGTTTGCTCCTGTTGCTATGGGAATACATTACATTTCCTGGTTGTTCTGAAGGAAATGAGGAGTGGGAAGTTCATTGAACATAGACACATCCTGCCAAATGGCATGCATTTATGCTGTTAATCTAATTATTGCACTGTACATTTAATTCCTGAGTCCAATATATAAATACAGTTGACAGAAACTTCCTGCAGAGCACATTGATTACCCGTCCAGTGAGATGTTATCTGTATATTACAAGGTGCTTTCTTTAACCTAGATACTTGATACTGTCCTGAAAAACAAGTACACCATTGTAGAAGACACCATCGTAAAAAAATCTGATGCAGCTTCTGATGCTAGGAAAAAAGCAAAGTTATTGCAGAGTGAAGCTGAATCTTTGTTATCAGATGCAAGTCGGAAACTTGAGTTATTAAAGAGTAAGTATTACACTGAATGTAAAGTGGTGATTACACGATTCAATGGGCAGGACAATAGTGAAAATGCTCAAGCAAAAGACTGAGGCTGCTTCTACAAATATTTATGGCTTAAACTCAAGTTTTATTGACGAAAACCCTTAAAGTTAAATGTGCTGTAAACTATTTCAAATCCGGTGTAAGATGGAATTCAGTCCAGCTGTTCAACATCCTTACATTTGGAAACACGGCACTGTTTATTTCTGATTTGAGTAGCTTAACAATTACTCATTGACAGGCATCAAAATGTTTGGGCTAAGCGGAAGATACTATTTCGTGACTATTGATGTTGAGGGTTTAAATTTTGTGTGGATTGAGCTTGAGGTCAGGGTTGAGTGAACAAGGAAGTACTAAGGCATTGTGCCAAAAACATGTTGTACTACAAATTTCTGATTCGTATTGTACACAGAATGAATGAACACACATCTTTTTTTATTATCAGCAGCAGATCAGGAGAAAGGACCTTTTTTCAAAAAAAACATACATGCATAAATATTGTTTAAAGCAATTTCTTATCTAAAACTATCTTATGTTCTGACTCACATATATCTAATTTTGATCACAACAAATTGAAGTTAAATTCATAAATTGCCAGTTATAACACTCAAAAGGAAATACCATCTAGTGGTTCATTGTTTGTTTCAATTGATAGTTCCTATATTTAAGAGTTGTAGATTTGCTTTCTGCTTTATTTCAGCAAACATCTGTCCTTTGCTAGTGAAGTTCATTAGATTTCTCCAGATTTTTCAATGTTTACATCTGCTAACATCTTATTTCTTAGCACAGCCAAGGCTGAAAGTCCGTCTCCTCAATCTTCTTGATACTTGTTTAATTACAGTAATTTTAAATTAATTATTTTGTTGGATTGCAGGCCAGAACAGAAGCAATCAAGTTTTATGTGTAGGTTAGTCACAGTTAAATTTAGAGAGAGTTTTTCCCCATCTGATTGGGGCTCAGTGTTATACCGATCTTGGCACTGATGCTAACAGAAGTCACCTTGTGCTACCGGAGTGTTCTGAAATTGCAGTGACTCAACTTTGCACACTGGATATTTTGAGGGGTATAAATACCAAAAAAATTCTGGAATAAAGCAAGTCTGAACAAACTAATCTATATGCAAACCATGCATATGTTATGGATGTGAATTTTGTATCTCCTAATGCCATCTCCATTTTGGTTAAATTACTTGATTCAAGCTGTAGCTTCTATGACTTTTTCATCTCCATTCTATTGAAGGTAAATCACTTGATATTAGTCACAATAGATTCTGTAAGGATATTGTCAGCAAGTTAAAGGTTAAAATTAATAAAATGTTTGTTCATGCACTTTGGCTGGTTCACATTTTCAAATCACATTATTCAACATGTTTCACCTGAAGGGATCCTCACCCCAACCTGAAGCATTGACTTAACTTCCCTCAGCTCTAAATAGCTTTGACAAGGTGATGTTCTTGCATGTAGTTTGAAGATTTTATTTTCTATAGTCAATATCTTTCTGTTCATACATTGAAATATTAAATTTATGAATATTTCAAAGCAAAATAATGGAAAAATGTGAATCAGATTAGTACCTTGTCCATTCATCTACCAAAGGTATTTTTCTACTTGCATGTCTGCAGTGTTAAATTCTTCTGATTTTCAGTTTAAAAAATTAAAACGAAGCTAGTAGCTTGTTCTAAAGCAAACTGCACCAGATACAAGTTCAAAGACTCCAGTTAACAGTAATAGATCAAAGCATGTATGACTTTTCAAAAGAAAAAGCATGAGTTGATCACCATATGAACTCTCCAATCCAAATTTTAAAAACTATTACAATTAAATAATCAATGCAAAAGATAAAGGTAAAATTGAAAGCACAGTTGAACATTAAGATTTAAATGCAGAAATAAAACCACTTAAAGACTTGTATTGAATTTATTTCATAAATGAGCAGCAGCAATTTAATTTATTCTTCATTGGTATATAAGTATTGCTAACAAGGTCTGCATTTGTTGCTCATCCCAAGTTGTCTTGAATTGAGTAGCTTGCTAAAGCATTTCCGAGGATAGTTAAGATTTGATCGTATTGCTGTGGGTCTGGTGACACGTTGATCAAACTAGATAAAAACGGCAGATTTTCTTCTGTATAGGAAATTGGTGAAAAGAGAACTGTGATTTCACGAATCGATCGTTTTGTGGTCACAGCTTCTGAGACTAGCTTTATAATTCAGATCTATTAAATTAAATTCCAATAGCTGCCATGGTGAATTGTACTAGTACATCTTCATTCTCTTCAGATTTAAGCTAATTGAATTGGAAAGCAGATGAGACAAGACTGTTGGAAATTGTGTATTCATATCTAATTGCTTAAGAATTGCAAGTTAATGTTGTGTTTCCTTACAGAACTAGAAAAAAGTTATGAAGACAACCAAAAAGCTTTGGAGGAAAAAGCCCAAAAGTTAATAAAACTGGAAGAAGATGTGCGCTCATTGCTGCAGACAATTAGCCAGAAGGTTGCCATCTATAGTACCTGTTTATAATAAGAATCACTTCACTGATACTATATACTTAAAGTTGCCTTCCTGTCAGTCCCTGATATTGTACTTTTTAAGCTGAAGAACAATCCATGCCAAGCCAACATTTTAAATGGAAAGCTTGCGAATTTATTGAGTTATTGTTTAAAAGTAGTACATTATTTGTATGTACTTTAGTTGTTAAACATTTTAAATAGAAACCAATGTTGCAACCATGGAATGCAATTTGTAAGCACCAGCAGTATTTTTTGTATTATTGTTCTTTAAACTTTGTCTGAAATGAAGTAAAAGTTCTCGGGTAAAGGTAGCAAACTTTTGTAGCCAGTATTGAATACATTTATTGCATTCAAATTTTATATAAAATGGACATCGTAAATATCCATTACGCAATAAATACTTTCTAAAACAAAACTGCCTTGGTCTTTTGCAACTTCTTTTTATTCACTCACGAAATATGGGCATCACTGCCCGGCTGGCATTTATTGCCCATCTCTAGTTGCTCTTGAGGTGGTGGTGGTGGTGAGCTGCCTTCGTGGACTGCATGCTGCAAGTGGACCCATAATGCCTTTGCAGAAGGAATTCTAGGATTTTGACCCAGTCACTATAAAAGAATGGTAATATATTTGCAAGAATATATTTGCAAGTCTGTGATTCAGTTCTTTTCCATGTTTGAACCAAGGCTGTAATGAGGTCAGGAACTGAGTGGCTTTGGCAGAACCCAAACTGAGTGTAACTGAGAAGTTTATTGCTGTTTGATAGCACTGTTAATGACACTGTCCATCACTTTACTGATGACCAGAGGTAGATTGATGGGATGATAATTGGTCAGGTTGGATTTGTCCTGTTTTTATGTACAGGACATACCTGGGCAATTTTCCACATTGCTGGATAGATGCTAGTATTGTAACTGTACTGGAACAGCTTGGCTAGGGGAATGGCAGACTCTGGAACATAAGTCTCAGTCCTATTGTCGGAATGTTGTCAGGGCCCATAGTCCTTACAGTATCCAATGCCTCCACCTGTTTCTTGATATCATGTGGAGTGACTGAAATTGGCTGAGGATGGTACCTGTAATGCTGGGGACCACTGGAGGAATCATCCATTTGGCACTTCTGGCTGAAGATTGTTGCAAATGCTCAGTCTTATGCACTGATGTGCTGGGCTCTTCCATCATTGAGAATGGGGATATTTGTAGAGCCGCTTCCTCCAGAGAGTTGTTTAATTATCTACCACCATTCACAACTGGATGTGGGCAGGGCTGCAGAGCTTAGATCTGATCTATTGGCTGTGGGATTGCTTAGCTCTGTCTATCACTTGCTGCTTATGCTGTCTGGCCGCTTCACCAGGTTGACATGTCATCTTTGGGTAGGCCTGGTGCTGCTCCTGGCATGCCCTCCTGCACTTTCCATTGAACCAGGATTGATCCCCTGATTTGATGGTAATCGTTGAGCAGGGGATATGCCAGGCCATGGGGTTGTGTTGGAGTACAATGCTGCTGCTGTTGATGTCCCACTGCACCCCATGGATGCCCAGTCTTAAATTGCTAGATCTGTTTGAACTCTGTCCCATTTAGCACAGTGATAGTGCTACACAACACACTGGAGGTTATTTTCACTATGAAGGCAGGACTTTGTCTCCACAAGGACTGTGCCGTAGTCACTCTTACTGATGCTGCCATGATATCTACATCTGTAGCCAGCAGATCAATAAGGATGAAGTCAAGTATGTTTTCTTGGTTCTCTCACCACCTGCCACAGGCCCAGTCTAGTGACCAGCTCAAGCAGCGCTGCTGCAGAGCCACTGATGGTGGTGAACATTGAAATCCCTCACCCTCTGCTTCTTCCAGGTGTGTTTCATTGTGGAGGAGAACTGATTCATCAGCTGACAGAGGACAGTACATGGTAATCAGCAGGATATTTCCTTGCCCATGTTAAACTTGAAGCCTCAAGACTTCATGTGGTCCAGAGTCAGTCAATGTTGAGGACTACACTTATTGCTGGGGAAAGTGTTTGTTCTGTGGCACTTTTCTGAAAACCCCTCAAACAGTGGAAGAGACTGAAGTCTAATATACCAAGCAATCTACTAGGGCTATATTTAGATGACTGTTATCATCACAAGCAAAGCTTCAGGATACTGGCTTTGAAATGAATAAACCATATGGTCCTGTGATTGGCTATTTCTGCTTCAAGAAGAGAGCCAAGTGAACTTCACTGCGTTGAAGACGAGGCAGACCAACAATACTGGGGAGCTTTGAACATAAACATTAATAATTTACTATAGTTGTCCATTACCAAATATAACAAATTAGGGATTGTGTGTGTGCCTGCACCTAGAAAAGGTCATTTAGCTGATTTAGGTTGAGAAAACCAAGTTTGGAAGTCCCAATATCATAATGCTGAATCTGAGCAGAAAATAAATCAACAACTAGTTGGAAATTGGATAACAAAGAAAAAGAGTTCACCTGGGAGCCAAAAGCCTATATTTGTTTTCAGTTTCTTGACCTGAGACTGGGATTGAAGGTAACTATTCTCTCATTGTCCCCTATCCAAGTGCTAATATGGTGCAAGCCCTGGTAAATTTGTCATTAGAACTTTTGGCCATAGAGTGTCATTTTAAAATTGCTTTAACCGTTGCTCCTCTTGAAAAGACAGTTGTGGATTTCCAAGCATGATCTCCAGCAGGAAATCCAAAACCCCAGCCAAATGGCTAAAACATTCAAATCCTTATGGGCTTCCATTGAAGTTGGTGGGGAATTTGTTAAATTACTTCTCCTCCTACAATCTTGGGTTTTATTTTGTCATACCAGCTGTCTCCACAGCAGGTGGAAAGAGATGGCAGACTGGAGGAGAATGCAAACGTGAAAGCACAAGCACAAAAGGCTTTTGCTGGGGGAGAATAATGTGGAGTACAACCATCTTTAAAGCTTCGAGTACAGATGTGCAAATAGAAATAACTAAATGAAACTCAGGTAGGAAGTAGTTGTGTTTCAGAAAGATCAAACATAAATCATCATATGCTCTAATCTGAAATATTTTACCAGTATAGGAATATAGCAATGTAAATAAAATCATTTAAAAATTACATGATGAAATTTGGAGGGATCTTTCAGTATTTGTCCACAGATTCCTGAAGGTGACAGGACAGAATTAAGGTGCAGTTAAGGCATATAGGAGTTTCCTTCACTATAGTAGGCCATGTCCTTGATGTACTAACACTATTATCTCCTTCCCCTGCCAGACTATTTAAAATTTCTCCCAATAGCATTAACACACACACTTGCAAGGATATTGGTCCCATCTGATATCTGTAAAGCTGAAAATAGGATAGGAAGAAAAGTAGAAAATTAATGAAATGGATGCCCCCTACTGGCAATTACATCTCTAGCATTGCTGTACCATGTTACAAAAAAGTTTAATGCTACGTTGGTTGTACGATCAAACATACTTTGAAAAATATGCTTTGAAAGTCCCCATGTGCTGACTGCCAAGAAGTTTGAGGGCAGCAAATTAACCCTTCACTTAACCCTGGGCAGATCTCAACAAAAGAGTTAGCGTTCAGTCCAATTTTTTTTTGATTGATACAAGGCAGTATAGCAATCAGTTTGGATTATATTTGCATTTGAGACTAATTTCCCATCAGGATCTGCACAAGTTGCTCAATGATGAATTAACCCTGTCTCATCAATTATTAACATGTCATGAACTATCAATTACATATTAACCATGGAGAATCCAAAACTTAGAATGTATTTGTAATGTGTTAATTAACAAAATAAATATTAACAGCTATGTTATATCCCCACTATTGACAATTTTTTTTAAACTGCAGTTCAAGTCTGTATCTAAGATGAATTTAATTCATCAGATTAGTTCAGTCTTGGTTGAGAAGTTAGCAGTATTCAAAAATACCAAAGAACTGAAGCTGTTGGAAGTCCAACAAAAACAGGAATTGCTGCAGAAACTAAGCACATTTGGCAGCATCTATGGAAAGAAAGCAGAGTTAATGTTTCAGGTCCAGTGAATAATAATTTTAGGGCCTGAGCACCTACCACACACACCTGGCTTTATCATCACATGGGCTGCTACCACAACAAAGTCATTTGGGGTTTGAGTGAAGATTTGTTGCTCGGTGCTGATTGTAGACTGTGTGTTCACCAAGCTCGGCAAACAAACCGACATCTACAACAAAGCTATTGTCAGCCACTAATGGTCCACATTAGCAGCTATTGATTCACCCAGGCTGATCATTTCCCATTCCTTTGTCTGCCCAACTGCTGTATTTGATCTCCGGGCTCCATCTCCACATTGTTTATTCTCCAACCCATCTTCAATATATATACACCAACATTTTCTTCAGCACTGATTATAGTTAGGAAAAATCACTGGACCTGAAACATTAACTCTGCTATCCCTCTACAGATGCTTCAAACATGCTGCGTTTATCCAGCAATTTCTATCTTTATAGTGTCATTGAGTTGTACAGCATGGAAACAGACCCTTTAAGTTAACAGTACTTATCGGTTTACTTTATGTATAAATATAGACAGTCTATATTTTTGTAGCTGGCAATTTTTCCAGAACTTGTACAACCCTTCATTCTTAACTGAAATAGATGAACTGGGATTTCCTAAACTTCTTCAGAGGATGGTGATTTTGTCTGTCAAAGTGCTGTTAATTCATTCTGGAGCTGTACAATATACAGAAGTGCCTAACCAATCTTCTATTTTTTCCAATCTGTTTTAATTTTGCTACACACATTAGAAACAAATTTCTCTCAAGAACTTCAACAAATGCTAAAAGAATTAGAACATTTTTGTTGGTTAAGAAAAAACATCTTGTATATCATTCATTTAAAATGTATTCTTATTTATCAAAGACAACAAGGTGTAGAGCTGGATGAACACAGCAGGCCAAGCAGCATCAGAGGAGCAGGAAGGCTGATGTTTCGGGCCTACACCCTTCTT